CCGCGGTGGAGGAGCTGGTTTCCGGAGTGCGGCAGGCGGCCGACTTCGCCGAGCAGTTCCGGTCCTACTCCGAAAGCGAGAAGCAATGGAAAGCGCGCATGGAGTTCATCCTGCGCCACCTGCCCGACTACCGCGACCCGCCAGATGGCGGCGGCCGCCTGGACCAGCTGCTGTCACTCTCCATGGTCTGGGCCAATCACCTCTTCCTGGGCTGCAGGTGCGGACCCCTGCCGGCCGGCTGACCCTGTCCCCTGCCCGCCGACCCTCTGCTCTCCCGGGCCTCACCCGGACCGAGACCCCTGCCTGCCCCAGACGGCGTGACCCCCGGCTCTTTCCCGCCTTGCAGCCTCTTGGAAAGATGCTTACTGCTCTGAGCCTCAGTGTCCTCCTTTGGTTGTGATGACTGCAGTAATTAAACCATGAAGAGCTGAGCTCAATACAAGGTTGGGCCCCAGAGCTGCTATATTGTTCATGCTATTTATATTACTCTTATTAGCTCAAATTACCACTTTTGCAGAGTACATTTTGAGTCCATGAACTCCTTTAAACCACAAGGCAGAGTCAGAGACAGAAACTAAGAATTCCAGAAGTACATGCCTAGGGGCCGGGCAACCTCTAGCAGGAGTGGATCCCCCCCCACCCCCAGTTGCGGGGATCGAACTCAGGACTTTGTGAGGCAGGTACAGTAACACGGAGCTAAATCCCCGGCCCCAGGAGTGGAACTTTTTTTACGACTATGGTGGGACATAATCTGTGTCCCCTGGCTTTTTCTTCCCCCTCCCAGCCTGCTGGGTCCTGAGCAGCAGTCACCTTTGTCTCTCTGCTTTTCCTCTTAGGAAAATAACGGATGCCTTTCATCAGGGTCCCACATCCACACATCCTGGCTACTGCACCGGCAGGGCAAGGGCCTGCCTTCCCGAAGGAGCTGCGGGTCTATGGCTCCCTTAGGTCCTTTTATTTTAGAACTCCTTCAAGCTGTGTTAGGGGAATAGGACGGCTTGTTTTGGTCCTAACTTCTGTACACTGACTAGTATCTGGCCCCTCCAGGCCATGTTTTGCTGTATCCCTTCAGTGGTGGACCTGAACCCAGGACTTCTGGCATGCTAAGCACGTGCTCTACCGTGCTCTACCACAGAGCTAACATTGTAAGCCCAAAGCCTCTTGTTTTTTTCTTCAGGTGCTAGACTTATTGGAACAAGATATAGGATAATTGTGCCAGATATAGCCATCCCCTCTTTCTGGCTTCTCGTGACTCGGGAAATCCTGGTTAACAGGATCCAAGGTTGGGCAGGGGGTCAGAGAATTAAGCAGAGCAGCCAGGCATTCCTGTAGTCACAGCACTCTGCGAGGCTGAGGTGGGAGGATTGCAAGTTCAAGCCCAGCCCCGGCAGCGTAGCAAGACTTTGTCTCAAAAAACAGAAAAAAAGAGACTGGGGTTATGACTTAATACAAAAGAGAACAAATTGAGCAAATGAAATGAACAAACGTCACTTTCACAAGACTGACATTCTCCATGCTTAAAAAGTAATCAAAAATATTTTTGGCCTTCATCCCATATCTGAATAAGTACTTCCAGATGTATGGAAAAATATTTCCTGTTGTAAATCTTGAAACATCTGCTCTGTTGACATTCCTGTCCGTTTCCCACAAGTGGGAAGAACTTCTTACCAGCCTGGCGCTGGATCAGTGCGTGTATCTGTTTCCCCGAAGCCTCTGATTAGTTGTCTGGAAACCCTGCTACAGTGGCACACACTGGTAGCCCCAGCTGCTGGGGAAGCCGAGGCAGGGGAATAATTTGAATTCCCTGCCAAACTGGGAACCATGGTGAAACTCCCATCTCGTAAAAAAAGAAAAGAAAAAGTTCAGTTCTAGAGTTGAATTTATCGCCAAGAAACTTGCCATTTCTTCTTGACTCAAAGGGAGAAGTAAATCTTCCAGTTTTTACCTTAGTACTTTTTATTGTGCAGTTACCATAAAGACCTTCTGGACAAGGTGATGGAAATGGCAGACGGAATTGAAGTGGAAGACTTGCCACAGTTTACCACCAGAAGCGAATTAATGAAAAAGGTAACCAGGATTTCCAACTGCATTTGATGAGTCAGTGTGTGGTTAATGGTCCCTGGTTTGATGACCCTGTATTAAATTGTTTTTGGTGTTTTGAGACAGGATCTCCCTGTGTATTTCTGGATGGCCCTGAGCTCACTTTGTATCCCCGGTTGGCCTTGAACTGAGAGCAATCCTCCTGCTTAAGCTTTTACTTACTATCCCACAGGTTTAAGCCCTTTTATTTTTATTTCCCCATGAGTAGAATATACCTTTTGATGACTAGGTAACAGTTGAGTATAAAAAAATCCATGAGCTCAGCCTCTTCAGCTTGTCAAGGAATACTCCATTTTAAGTTTTTTTTTTTTTTTTTTTTTTTTTTTAATTGTTTATTTTTTTCTTAAATGGTTGGTACTGGGGATTAAACCCAGTGCCTATATACTGAGCTACATCCCCCGAAAGAAAATGTTGGCTAGAGTGCTAAAGTTTCCTGTTTGTTAAAAAATCTTACTGATGGCAGAGTACGTCATCTCCGCCCCAGCAGGTGAGGGCTGGGTCCCCTGTTTGGCCCTCTGTGTGGACAGGAATGGGGCTGAGTGAGGTCCAGATCCCATCGCTGTTCCCTCTTCTGCAGGGCTCTTCCCGTCCGAGGCTGTGGACTTGAGCACCTGCTGAGCCTCTTGTATTTGGCGCCGGAGCAGGGGCTCTTCTGTGTGGCAGGAAGAACCTCAGATGAGGCGGGACATCCCTGCTACGTTTGTCCTGATCTCTTTAGGCAGGAAAATTGCTTTCTCATTTTCTGAAGTTCCTTAGGTATTCACCAGTCCCCTTTCGAGGCATGCTGTGACCCTGAAGGCACCTGATAGTTCTTGGTTCTAGTTTATCGTAGTCTGTAAAACCTAGTGTAGGCATACCTACACTGAGAAGGCGCTCGGAAAATACTTACAGAATTGACCAAAGGAGCCAGGCGCTGTGGCACATGCCTGTCATCCATCCCAGCACTCAGGATGCTGAGGCAGGAGGACTGTTATAAATTCAAGACCAGTCTAAAATTACATAGCAAGACCATCTCAAAAAAACAAACAGAAAAAGCTGACCAAAGCAATAAAGAGCTACTGCCCCCCTTTTTTTTAGTTCTATCTTTAGAAGCATAGGTAAGCCCTTGTTTCACCCATTAGAGTTATTTTGGGAGGTAGGGCACATAAAGAGGTCCCTTACTGATTGATTGATTGTTTTTTGTTTTTTGAGATGGTCTTGCTATATAGCCCAGGCTGTCCTCGAACTCAGTGATCCTCCTGCCTCAACCTCTTGCGTGTTGGGATTACACATGTGCACCACCATGCCTGGCAAGAGGTCCCCTTAATTTAAGGAGCTAAAGAATTCCTCACCTGCCCAGAAAATATTTGAGTCTCATTTGCTTTCAGATGGTTTGTTTTTCTTGAAGAGAAAACAATGAAAAAAATTGTTTTGAAATTTAATCTGAACACTTAATGAAAGTGTTCAGAGACCAGAACGTGTAATGAGATTTGGGCCTCATATCTTAGGAGGAAAGGAGAGAGATTTGGGGTGTCCACAGCACTGTCAAATAGGAAGTGTGGACATTGGGAGGGCTTTCTTGGAACTGTTTGATACCGTAGAGTTCCTTCACAGTAGAAATGTACAGTGCCCTGCCCTGGGATGTTTTTCTTTTTTTTTTTTTTATTTTTGAGACAGGGTCTCACTATGTAGTTGAGACTGACCTGGAGCCCAGGCTGGTCTCAAACTCACAGCAATCCTCCTGCCTCAGCCTCCTGAGTGCTGGGATTACAAGTGTGTGCCACCACGCCCAGCTTTCCAGGAAGTTTTTCTGAAGGGTCCTGAGGCCCAAACTTGAGGCCCAAACTTTAGGCCCAAACTTTGTGACCCTGTGAGCCGGTCTGCCATTTCGCTAAGCATAAACTATCAGCAGCGGGAGGGACCGGTGTGGAGGTCAGAATTATGCAGCTTCTTTGAGTTCTGTGTGTTGCAACTTCCTTCAAATAAAACTAGTGTTTTGTTAGTAACCAAGATTACTTTTAGACTTGATGACAGTGAAAATGAAATTTTGCTGCCCCTCACAAGTGAGATACTTAAGAGGGTGAGTTGAGTTTGGCAGCCGTCTGGGGCCGGGTGGAATTCCCTTGTGCAGGGCTTGCTAGCGCCGCCGACAGGACAGAATCTCCTCCGTGAGCCAGGTCATCTGTGTGGGGCCTGACTTCCGTGGTACCCATGGCTGTCCTCGGAACATGCCCCAGAAGGCTACTCGGAGAATCCTGTGCCGTGCCGGCCTTGGGGTCTTCACAGCAGCTTTGTGTAACACATGAAGCTGGCAAACGTCAGGCAGCAGTGCCAGCACGGAGACAAAACCAAAACCAAAGCGGTGTCAAGCCACGCGCTCCAAAACGTCTGTTGTTATGCTGCCCGGAATTGATCCCTTAGCTCCAAAATTAGAGTTTAGTTGGGTTTTCAAGCTGTCTAGCAAGCGAAATGAATCCCTTGGCATTGCTGGTATCTTGAGCCCAGACAGTGAGGATGACTGGAGACACAGACCTCTCGGTAAGATTTAAAAATACTTCTGGCTGTTACACAGCTGTGAGATGAGTACCTCTGTGGCCTGTCCAGACTTTTTTGTTGTTATTGTTTGAGAAGCGAAATGAGCACTGGTCTTTGGTAGGTGGGCTTTTTTGGTTTCTTATTTTGGATGGCACTGGGGATTGGACCCATTCCTTCAGACTGAGATACATCCCCAGACCTTTTGTTTTTTATTTCGAGACAGGATTCTGCTGAATTGCCAGGCTGGGGTTGAACTTACAGTCCTTCTGCCTGAGCCTCTGAGTTCTGGAACTGCAGGGATTTGCCACTGTGCTTGGCTAGACAGGTGGGATCTGGCCAACGGCTGCAGGGTGTGATGTTTCTTTTCTTTTGAAAGGAGGATTCAAGCACAAATATATTGAGTGCACAAGTTTGATTTCTAACCACCAACCTGAGGCACCTGCTCCCAGCCTGATCATGAGCAAAATTAAGAAAGCAGCAGTAGCTGCTTTGCTGAGCGATGGCGGGTGTCATCGCCGGGAAGGTCAGTTGGTTTTTCCACGATTAAAGTCTTTAGCATGGAGGAACGAGTGATTAATCAGGAAGCTGTCATTATTGGCTCAATGAAAAAAGTTGTCTGCCTAATTGTTCCAGTTTTCCTGAGAACATTTTTATCCCGAGAGGAAAAATGGTAGACGAAATATGAAGAAAAGTGCAAACAAGCATGCCCACATCTCAAGGGGTTCTCTTTTGTGCACTGTGCCCAGTCTTGGCATGCGCTGAGGTAACGCTTTGGTGAAAGCAGCCATCATGTTCTAAGGTGGGGGAAAAAAAAAAACAGCCCTTCAGACTCTTTCAATAAGAGGTTGTCTTACATCCCAAGATAAATGCATACTTCACAGAGCTGCTTGTCTTTTTGTTTAATGTTCTGGAAATAGAAGTTGAGCCATCTCAGACTCCACAGGCCAGTCTTGTCTGGTACCCGAGGTGGGTAAACCGCCTGCCAGCACCCTGTGAGGAAGGCTGTACTTGCTGCAGCCAGGACCACTTAGAGTTGCAGTGCTGCTGTAGGCTGGGGTGCGCTGGTATACTTTTGAAATGGCTAAGGCACTTTTCCTCTTGGGGATGAAGATGGCTTAAGTGAACCGGTTTCCCCCAGAAGGAGAAAGGCTGCCTCTATTTTGCTTTTTGTTTTTGTTTGTTTGTTTGTTTGTTTTTTGAGACAGGATCTCACTATGTAGTTGAGACTGACCTGGAACTCACTATGTAGCCCAGGCTGGTCTCAAACTCACAGCGATCCTCCTGCCTCAGCTTCCCGAGTGCTGGGATATCACAACTCTATTTTGCTTTTTGTTTTTGTTTGTTTGTTTGTTTGTTTTTTGAGACAGGATCTCACTATGTAGTTGAGACTGACCTGGAACTCACTATGTAGCCCAGGCTGGTCTCAAACTCACAGCGATCCTCCTGCCTCAGCTTCCCGAGTGCTGGGATTACAGGCATGCACCACCATGCCCGGCTTCTGTTTTGCTTTTGCTGAAGACTTGATTTTCATCTCTCCTTTTCTTTTGCAGTACTGGGGATTGAACTTAGGTCCTTCAGGCTGAGCTGCCTCCCCAGCACTTTTTTATTTTGAAACAGGGTCTCAGGTTGCCAAGTTTCCCGGGTGGGCTCAGACTTACCATCCTCATGCCTATGCCACCATGCTGTGCTTGTTTTTTCCTCCCTTAGAATGACTGACTTGATTTCCTAGGAAATAGGTCATACCTTGAAATCTCTGATTACTAAAAAGACTCACAGGTTGATTCATTTGTACTGCTAAATGTTAAGGAAATCCACTCAAATACAAGGTGACAGCCAGTGTGATTATTTGCACCCCACTTAAAAAGTTGTCTAAAGCCAAGTTAAATTTATTGAAGGTGCTAGAGAGTACCCAGAAAGAATCCTATCACCTTCAGTTCACCAGTATTTGAAGACAAGCTTTTGCAGTTTTTAATAGTGTGAACTCTAGAAATACATAACCTTCACATCTCCTAAATACCCTGACTCAATGTGGAATGTTGTGAATTACTACCTGAATCAAACTGTTGTTAATTTAGAACAATAAGTGTTTGTGCAGTTCTGCTTTTAGAGCCTTTCACTGTGGAACACACCAGGAAAAGCTGCAATTGAAGTATTTCCATTATTGCTTTAAATTGTGAGCATTTATAGATCGGGCAAGTGATGAGAACATTAAGTTGTGGCTTCCAAATGGATGGTGTGGTCAGTGTTTTGCTGAATTTTCTGGACACAGTGAAATATTAATAATTTCTGAGTAGACTTACCATCTGGATAGTACTGAATATAAAATATCACTGCTATATTTTAGGAAGATGGGTTTGATTCACTGGGCTTCATGTCTCCCTAACCTTTTCTTTTCTTTCTCCCCAGCATCAAAGCTAAGGATCTAGCACATTTTCATCATCGGCTGCAGGTTTAGAAAGGAGCCTGGAATGAACAGACCACACCAGCTCTTTACGAACCCTGGTATCACCAGCATGATGTGGTGGGAATCTGTCTGGATTGGCTTTTTAAAAGTCTTCATCCTTCCAGTAGCTGTCACTGTAAAAGTATACATGGATGTTTATGTATTTATAATCAAGCATTCTAAGGTGATTTTATCAACATTGTACAAGCCAAACTTTGTTTAAAATGCTCTTTTTTATTTCCGCCGGGTGTGGTGGTACACACCTGTAATCCCAGTACTCGGGAGGCTGAGGCAGGAGGATTGCTGCAAATTTGAGGCCAGCCTGTGCTACTTAGTGAGTTTGAGGCCAGCCTGAACTACATAGCGAGACCCTGCCTCAAAAAACCAAAACCAAAAATAAAATGCTCCTTTTTTAAAATGTTGATGTAATAATGGAAGATAATGAATTTTATAGTTTGTACTTTTCAACAACATACCTTTAAGTGTGATGCTGTTTCTTGGTCTTTTTCCCCCACTGAAGCAAACCAAATACTTCATTTCCGTAATGCTACTTGAAATTTATACCTTTATCTCACACCATATGTATTTATCGTTTCTCATCATAGAAAATGAGAATCATATCATAGTGTTGAGGCAATCATGAGCTAGCTTATGGGAAGAGAAGTAGCCTACAAAATATCTGGCTGTGTTCATTGAGGGCTGGGGTGTGACTCAGTGGTAATGTATTTTCATAGCATGCTCAGGTCTTGAGTTCTACTCCCAGGATCACAGACGAAAACCCACCAATGAAGCAAGTAAAACCCACTGATAGGAAGTTCTTTGTCCGTTGCTTTGTAGATTCTCCACATCTCAGGCTGCTGAGGAGAACCCACAGCTTCTCTTTGGAGGCCATCTGAGCTTGGGTCCTTGAGGAAATGCCTGTACGTAGCCTCTTAAGAAATTACAGTACGATCCTGTTTTACACTGAGATTTTGGTATTAACATTTTCTTTTAGTTTCTCTACCTCCTTCCTGTTCTTTTCATGTTGTCCTCACCATGAAGTACATATTTGGGCTAAAATAGCAGGAGGGAGCTTCTTTCTGGGGCACCAGTTTACTGGTCAGTCCCGGCAGGATCCGCTCGCAGTGGCAGACAGCATGTTCTGTCCTGGCCGCGGTGGCTAAGAGACTGTGGGTCCTACCTTCACTTAGTCTGTTGGGAATGTAATCCTATGTCCAGGAAAAGTGAAGCGGATCTGGATGGGGCGGCAGAAGTGGAAGGCCAGGCAGCACTCCCTGCATGGGCCACCTCTCTATAACTGTAGTTACGGTCTTTCTGCTGACCACTAGTGTGGGCTGAGTGGTCAGGATCTCTGATCCCATGGACAAGATACTGCCGTGTGGCCCAGGAAAATGAAGGTGCAGAAGTTCCTGGCACAGAAAGGCATGGCGGAGATTAAGACGCCAAATGTCCGAGGGCCCTGCCGTGCTCAGTGATACGTAGCCTCTTCTCCGCAATTCAGCCTAGCTTTGTCCCCAGTCAGATTATTTGTGCAAATTTGTGACACCTTAAAAATCTAATTACAGAATGGAGAACATCAGTGTGATTATTCACTTTTAAAGTACATTTCCCATAGGTTTCTCATGGATTTTTTTGTGTCGGGGTACTGGGGATCAAACTCAGGACCTTATGCTTGTGAGGCAGGTGGTAGAACCACTGAGCTAAATCCCAGCCCCTTCTCATGGATTTTTATCCTGTTTAAGTTCCAAAAAACCATAGCTTTTCTGTTGTGTAAAGTTTAAACCTTAGACCAGTCCCTCCCCAGTCTCCTTCAGTTTGCTTATTTTTGCAGTGCTAGGAATTGAACCCAGGGCCTTGCGTGTTCTAGGCAAGTGCTGTACCACTGAGCTACGCCCCGGCCCCATCCTTCAGTTTATTTTTGAAGACTTGTGTAAAGTTTCTGATTACATTTTCTAACAGGTTCTCTCTACATTATTTCCTAAGCTTATTGCCTAGTTTTCTTTATCACTCTTTCTTTTGTAAATGTTACTGTCCCACCTAGCAAATCAGGTAGTATTATAGAATTTCTTTCTTCATGTATTTCTGGAAGAACAGCAAAGAAATCTAAATGTTTGTGTTGCAGCATTCCTTGTGATGTAGGTAAAACAGTCTTTTTTTTCTTTAAATTTCTGAGACTGTTTTACTATGAGGATCAGGCTGGCCCTGAACTCACAGCAATCCTTTTGCTCCAGCCTTTTGAGTGTACTGAGATTACAGGTGCGTGCCACCCCACCCCCCGGCAAAATAGCTCTTTAAAAAGCCTTGACACAAGAGCTCATACCACATCCAAATGCAAGATTCTAGCCTTGCATGTGCATTTCTTCCCAGGATTTGGAAAGAAAATGGTGAGATCACATGACGTCTCTTCTTCCTCTGCCTATAGGCAAATCAACCGAAAAAATACACTCGAATCTGGCCTTCCAACCTCACTTCCTGAGGCTAGTCTTGGGCCAGTTAGCGGCAAACCTTTGTGTCCTGACCCGGAGAGGATCTTTCCGGTTACAGATGCCTCAGGACTTGTGAGAAGCAAGTATGTGCTCGGTTACACCCAGTTCACAGTGGTTTCCTCATGTTATCCAGCACCCAGAAAATTGCTTTCTGAACCATCCCTTAGTGTCTGCGGCCCACCTTTACCTCATCAAGTACTTATCAAAGTAAAGAATTCCTCTGAAGCTTCCCAGGATTCATTTGGACTGGTTGCTCACCTGTCTGTGGGCGCTGGCAGAAATTACTGCTCACCCTCTGGTACTTGCAGCCTGTAGTAAAATGTGTGTTTTCCCATCTAAGAAGAGATCTCTGTCCCCTGAAATGGCAGGTAACTTGTTACCACTTCAGCTCCAGAGTGCGCTGTGTACCATGGGTCTGGAAGGATCCTGTCACCTGGTACCTGAGGCCTGTGTGCCACGGCACCTCGTTACATGGCTCTCATCGCTGACTGGTTTAGTGACACCTCTGTCTGTAGGAGTATGAGTAAGCACAGATCTTCAGAGGCAAGAGTTGAACTCGAACCAACTTTATGAGGAAGAGCCAGCCAGTGCACAGTTTCTCCTCAAAGCTCACTGCTCTTCCTGTGGCTCAGGACCCCGGGTCTAGGTGGTGGCAGTGCTGGCTCCTCCTTGGGTTGGAAGGTTGTCCCAGTGCCAGCAGTAGTTCAGGGTTACTCACCGGTGCTCTGTCAGCAACAGAAGTGGCTGGAAGTCTTGCTCAGACACCTACATACTTAGGTCCAGCTGAGCCGGTAGAGTAAAAAGGTCATCAACCAAACACGCTTTCAAAGAATAGAAAACAAAAATGAGACTATTAAGCTCCTATGAGTTGTGAGCTGATTTTCACGTAGACCCAGGCGTGAGAGCCAGAGATTTTGTCCTTGAAAGCATGGTCAGACAGGGCTGCCTCATTAGAATACAACCCACCTGATCCTGGCCCGTGTCTCTTCTACTTTACAGGCAAATCAACCCCAGAATTCCTTTCCGCCCTCATTGGCCTGAGGGAGTTTCACCGTTAGGGGCAAGACTGGGGACAAGAGCTGGGCCGGTGTGGTACGCTGCCCTCCCTGCCGAGTGAGCCCTGCCTCGGTACTG